ATTATAAATTTTAATGAATTCCGTGGATTTGAATAGATTTTCACAAAATTCATAAGAATCCAAAACTGGTGAAAACCGAAAAAAGTACGTCATATGTATTTTTAAGCTTAAAATTCATCAAAATCTCTTAAAATGAAGTCCCACAACCATTTGAATAAGTCATTTTTTGGGGAAATTTAGTTTTAAAATAGTATTTTTTTATTTTTTTTTTGTAAAATATGTGGTTAAAAAGTAAGAAATTTTTTTGAATTTACGTGCATAATATTTTATTGTAAAAATATGTGGTTGAAGATGAATTTTTTTTTTAGTTAATTTAATGGCTGTCAAACGAGTAATAAAACAACATGCATCCAATTTTTTTGCGCCGTTTAGGGTCGAAGTCAATAATAAGGTATCTTTAACCGAAATTTAAATATATTTTAAAAATCCTTCTAAATTCGAGTGATAACTTAGTGGATTTACATGAATTTCATTAAATTCTTCCTCGAACTAGTCTGGTGAGAAGTAAAAAATAAATCTTTCCCATTAATCTCGTCTCGATAAAAGTGTGCACACCGAAAATCCATATTATTTCTAGAGATTATTGCTTGGGAGTCGAGACATAAAGCCATTAGTGGAGAGAAAAATCAGAATAAATCTAAGGGCGTGTTTGATCGTGCTTAAAATCCAATTAAAATTGAAAATATAGCCTTTATTGGGTCCCACTCGTCTAGTAAAAGTTAACAATAACGGCTAATTTTTCAATTTTAATTCGATTTTAATCTCTACCGAACACGCTATAAGTGTACAACATTGGTTGACAACCATACATTGTCAAAATCCTAATATGTGGTGTAGAAAATAGTTTTTTTTAAAGTGAATGGATATGGTAATGTCAAATAGGATGTTGTCTATCAATGTTATACATATAACATGATTCGAAAAATAATAGTTACCACTTCTCAAAATAAAATGTCTCAGTCTTTGCCGTCTATGACGTTTCGGCATTATGTGACATTTTTTGGGTTTCATAAAAAGTTTATTATGCACTAAAAAAAATTGATCAAAAGTCTGAAAAAAAAAATTATATTTTTGACACTAAAGTAATAATTATTTTCAAAATACTCAAAATTAAAAATTAAATTGCCCATATATATTTAAAAATAAAAAGATATGTAGTAATTTTTAGTACTTGTTTGACACTCTTTAATTAATTTGATGGTTTACTATATGATTATTTTTAGAAAAATGCTGTTTGTACCAGGCCACTTGACAAAATGACGTGTACGGACGAGATAAATTGTAAGTGGACGGCTGTGATTATTTTGAAGTTGAGGGCGCCAAAATGGGGGGATAGAAGGGAAAAAGTTAAACAATCAACTTGCCTGTAGCTGAAAACATTTTCTCTTTCCGGCACCTCCCCCAAATCTCAGCTCCTCATCTCCTCCAAAACCTATTTCGTCTGTAACTGAATCTATTTTCTCGACCCCACACCATTTCCCCCAAACCTCAGCTCCATTTCCTCCCATGTTGGAACGACCCATAATCTATCTTGGCTGAATCTATTTTCTCGACCCCGCACCATTTCCCCTAAATCTCAGCTTTGCAGCTCAACCAATGGGAAAATGCCATAATAAGCACAAGCACCATAATACATCTCCAAACGATAAGCTGAAATATGTCCACGAGATTAATAATTTCAAGTAAAAACAGCTCCAAGAAATGTGTTAAGGCTTTTAATTTTACCAATTTAGTTCAAGACTTAACACAAATGAATTCAAGAAAATGCAAACCCATAAACACATTTACTGAACAAACTTCAGAGAAAATGGGTTTTTTTATATAACTAATGATAGACATTAAAACAAAATCAAATTACAAAAATGTTCTTACACTCAACGGAAATAAAGGAATTGCAGAGTCAGGGAAAGCAACAAATCTTGTTGGAATTGCACAAAGCAGTTTCCTTTATGCCGGAGAAGAAAGATGCTTTGTAGGTTGTCTTGAGCTTCCTGCTTGGTGGTCTCACCTTCCTAAACACTAAAGGGAACTTGATCTTGGAGTTATGGAGTTGTTTCGTACCCTCCCTCTTTCAAAGCTTTGTCGGTATAGTGGCGGTCTTAATAATTTGAATGCAGTAACGCTGGAGGTACGGTTGGTGTCGGAACTGAGTGGCCGTCGGAGAATGTTTGTGATTTGTTTGGGATTAGTTTGTGATTTTGGGAAAATGGGGAGAGAGAAACGGGGAAGGGAAATGGGGGGAGAGAGAAGGATGTTATTATTTTGATTTTTCTTTTTTTTTAATTGCTGCCACGTCATTTTGTCAAGTGGCTTTGTCAACCAACTTGGTACACGTAGCGCGACTGTTATTTTTAAACACTCATTCATACAATAAAATACTTACCACATATATTAAAAGCTCTTTCTTACTTTTTAACCATAAATTCTCCTAAAAATCACTATTCAAAATTCTTTTTTTTTTAATAAAAATGATTGTCAAACGTGCTCTTAGACCCTGTTCTCTTTGTCGTTTTTCAGCCATTTTCTGTTTTTAATTTATCAAAACAACGAAAACGCGTTCTCT